CTGCATACGAGCGGCTACGACGGCGCTGCGGCACAGAGGCATGGCGGCGGCATAGCGGCATCAGCGATGACGACGACGACCGCGCCCTGGCAGGCACTACCACTTCCGGAAGCACGGCCTGCCGCTCCAGTGCTTCGGCCCGCGGTGCTGCGTGTACCCCTACCTGGGGCTGCAAATGCTCGACAGCCTGCTGCAGGAGCGCGTGCCTTCTGTCTTGGTTTTCTGGGCTTGACGAGGACCAGAGAGCGCCTGGCACACACACACACCACCGCTGCTGCGATACTCGAAGAACAAGTGCGATATGACACAACTTTCCGAATTGCCCATCGGATTTTCTGGATATGCGCTGGGGCACTTGCGGCGCCTCTGGCACCGCCCCTGGCGCGCTTCCCACCGCCGATCCCGGCAATCCGCGCGGACCTTCGAAAGTTTCTGTTCAGGAGGGGAGCAGACACAGACACAAATAATCGCAGATTCCCATGACAAATGGAAAATGGAAGGGAAGACGAACATTGAAAATATGGGAGTCTTGGGATTTGTGTTTATTTGTTTCTGCGTCCCTGGGCCCCCTCAGATGTGCCCTCCAGGGCCAGATCCCACGTGATCGCGACCGGGCGCCATTTAGGGCCCCCAGGTGGGCCAAATAATGGGCCCCTCACGCGCGTCTCCAGCCACTCTTCGGCCAACAGAGGCTCCCAGAGAGCCCGAGATGGCCCCGAGAAGGCCCCGGGATGGCCGCACGCCGCCCGCCCCGATCCTCGCCCTCCGTCCTGCGCCTGCCCGCCCGGTCCCCGGCACGCGCTCCGCCCGCTCTCGGTCTACTTCGTCGTCGGTGCTGTCGTGCGCCCTCCCCCTCCTTCACTCGGAGGCGAGCGAGGGGGGGGGAAGTGAGAAGGAGAAGGCCCTCTCAGAGGGCGGCGGGGCTTCGCAGAAGCCCTCGGGCCTCCTGAGAGGTCTCCTGTGGTCTCGGGGAGGGCTCGGAAGCTTTTCAGAAGGGCCGGGGGACTTTCGAGCCTCTGAGAAGGCCTTCGCCTTCGCACTTCCCCCCTGGGCTCTCCGCCGATTCGCGCCCCTCCCGAGAGGCCATCCTCCTCCAAGCCTGCGTGGCCCCAATCTGTCAGTCCACGTCCTCTGATTCCCACGTTCTCCTCTCCGAGCCTTCCCCTTGCGGGGGCTGCTCAAGGCGCCCCTGGCCCGAGGGTGCCCCAGGCTCTGCGCTCAATTGTGGAGCCCCCCGGGGGACCCCTGGGCCTTGTGAGGGATGCTCTGGAGGCAGTGGGGGCCTTAGACACCTGGGCCGGCACGGTATCGGAGAGTGCGCATCAGAAATTAGCCCGAGATGGCTTGTGGCACCGTTCGCTCTTGGGAGCCTTGGTTTTGAGAGCTGTTTGCATCACCGCTCGCTATTGTTAGCCTTGGTGTTAAGGGCTTTTGACGTTACCGCTCGCTCTTGGGAGCCTTGATGTTCAGAGCTTGTCACGTCACCGTAAGCTCTTGGGAGCCTTGGTGTTCAGAGCTCGTAACGTCATCGTTCGCTCTTGGGAGCCTTGGTGTTAAGAGCTTGTCACGTCAGTATGGGATCTTGGGAGCCTTGGTGTTCAGAATTTTTTTAAGGCACCGCTCGCTCTTGGGAGCCTTGGTATTCAGAGCTTGTGACGTCACCGTTCGCTCTGGGGAGCCTTGGTGTGAAGAGCTTGTCACGCCACCCTGGGCTCTTGGGAGCCTTGGTGCTCAGAGCGTTTTGTGTCACCGCTGGCTCAGGGGAGCCTTGGTGTTCAAAGTTGTTTACGTCCCGCTCGCTCTGGGGAGCCCTGCTGTCACGAGCTTAGCGTCTCCGGGCCTTCTTGGGGGTCCTGTCGGGTCCATGTTGGGCCCTCTTGGGCAGTCCGGGGGCCCTTCTCGAGCCTTCTTGGGGCGTCTTGGAGGGCTGTGGCCGTCCTGGAGCTTTCCTTGGGGCCTCTTGGGACCGTATTGGGAGCCTCATGGGGCCCACTTGGGGCTCTCTTGGGAGCCTCTAGGCGCTCTCTTTGGCCGTCTTTGGGCCCTCTTGGGGGCCGTCCTGGGGGCCTCTTGGGGCGCCTTGGGGCCCTCTCGGGGGCCTCTCTTGGTCCATCTTGGGACGATCTTGGGGGCCTCGTGGGCCTCCTCCTTCGGGCGCCTTGGGGCCCTCTTGGGGCCTCTCGGGCCATCTTGGGAAGATCCTGGGGGCCTCTTGCGCCGTCCTGGGCCGTCGGAAGCCCGAAAAGGTGAGAATCCCAAAAACACACAACAACCTCATGACAATTCTTGTTTTTTTGGCCTCCAAAGGGTCCTTCTGGGGCCCTTCTGGGCCGTCTTGGGGCGTCTTTGAGGCCTTTGGCCGTCTTGGGGCTCTCTGAGGGGCCTCATCGGTCCCTCTTGGGAGTCTTGTGCCGTTTTGGGGCCCTCTTGGCACGTCTTGGGGCCCTCCTGGGCCGTCTTGGGGCCCTCTTGGGGGCCCTGGGGCTGTCTTGCGATGATCCTTTGGGCCTCTTGGGCCGTCCTGGGCCGTTCTTGGTCCGAAAAGGCGAGAGTCCAAAACACAGAATAACCTAAGGAACATCAATATTTCTGGCCTCCGCAGGCCCTCTTGGGGATTCTCTTGGGGACCTCTTGGACCTTCTTGGGGCACTCCTGGGCCGCCTTGAGGCCATCTGAAGCCATCTTGGAACGCTCTCAGGCGGTCCTGGGCTTTCTTGGGGCGCGTTGGGCTGTCTTGGAGCCTTCTTGGACCGTCTTGGGGGCCTTTTCGGCGTATCTTGGGCCGTATAGGGGCGCACTTGGGCTGTTTCGGGCCCCCGGAGGGCGATGAGACTTTGCGCCCAGCCTTCCCCCCCTGGACGCCCCCGTCGGGCTGACGCCCTGCCACGAACGGAACCGTGCGAACGCTCTTCCTGTCATTTTGGGGACACCTTGGGCCAGGAGCACTTCTGGCAACACGCGATCCTCGTTTGGCAGCCAAGAGGGGATTATCGTTGTGTCGTTTTCGTTCGACACATGCGCATATCTGAAATCTAGGAAACGGTGCTTCGTGATGTCCCACAGTTCGTTCTGCGTGAGCTCGGTGTCAAAAAAACTGGATTCCCAACCGCACCGTTCACCAAGCACGCCGTTAGTGCGGCCTTGGTGGCTCGCATAATTTGTGTGATCCTGGGCTCGCGTGCCGCCCTGTCCGCGAGCGCGCCGTGGACGCTCGCCCACAAGGCGGCGGTCATACACCTGGACCCCCGACACTGTCTGACACGCCGCTGCCCCTCCGCTTGCCTCGTCCCCTTGCGTCGGGCTAGATTCGCTGGCGTGCGCCCCATGCTTGCCGTCCGCCTCGGACCGTGTCCGCTGCCGCTGACACACGTCGTGCACGACGCTGCCGACGACTGTGAGTCTTACCAGCGAAGATCGCGTGACCAGGGCACGCACATTCGGCCACCGTTGCCTTGGTGCCTTTCGGAATCGGTCCCCTTCCGTGCTTGTCCAGCTGGAGAGGACGAGGGGAGGGAAGGGGGATGAGGAGGGGACGAGGAGGGAGGGGGGCAGAGGATGAGGAGAGGGGAGGAAGAAAGCAGTGATGGGGGAAGGGACAAGAAGTGGAAGTGCAGCGACTGGGACGCTGATGGGGAGTCAAAGACAAGCGGCGGTGAGATGCGGGGCTTCCTCGTCGGCACCACCAACAGGACCTCTGCCGTCCCCCATCCTCCCCAGTCCCCCCGCGCGGAAGAGGGAAAGGAAGGGGGAGGTGGAGCAAAACAGTCATGACAACAACACGCGCCTCACTGGACACGGTTTCGACGGTCTCGCATATCGCTCTAAGTTTGGCCTAGCAGCCAAGATGTTGAGCCTCCAGCCTATTTTGATTCCATCTGCTTAGGCGCCTGACACAAGCCGGCCTACTGCATCCCCAAGCGAGAGGGACGAGCGGGGCGAGAGAGGGGGGAGAACGAGGAGGCGAAGGAGGAGGAGGAGGAGGTGGAGGAGGACGAGGACGAGGACGAGGACGATAAACATGATGATGATGATGATGATGATGATGATGATGATGATGATGATGATGATGATGATGATGATGATGATGATGATGATGATGATGAGGATGATGATGATGATGATGATGATAATGACGATGATGGCGATGATGATGATGATGATGATGTTGATGCTGATGATGATGATGCTGGTGATCATGATGATGCTGCTGCTGATGATAATGCTGATGATATTTTTAATGCTGATGCTGATGATGCTGATGACGACGACGATGATGATGCTGCGACAGGTGATGCTGATAATGATGATGATAATGACAACGATGATGAACATGAACATGAATATGAAGATGAATATGATGATGATGATGATGATGATGGTGATGATGATGCTGATGATGCTGATGATGCTGATGATGATGCTGATGATGATGATGACGATGATGATGATGATGATGATGGTGCTGATGATGATGATGTTGATGATGCTGATTCTGATGATGATGCTGCTGATAAACATGATGATGAGGACGAGGACGAGGACGATAAACATGATGATGATGATGATGATGATGATGAGGATGATGATGATGCTGATGATGCTGATGATGCTGCTGATGATGATGATGATGCTGACGATAATGACGATGATGGCGATGATGATGATGATGTTGATGCTGATGATGATGCTGGTGATCATGATGATGCTGCTGCTGATGATAATGCTGATGATATTGTTAATGCTGATGCTGATGATGCTGATGACGACGACGATGATGATGCTGCGACAGGTGATGCTGATAATGATGATGATAATGACAATGATGATGAACATGAACATGAATATGAAGATGAATCTGAGGATGATGATGATGATGATGATGATGATGATGATGATGATGATGATGATGATGATGATGATGATGATGGTGATGATGCTGATGATGCTGATGATGCTGATGATGATGCTGATGATGATGATGACGATGATGATGATGATGA